CTTGCTAAAAACCCAGACACGTTTTTCGCCGACATTCTGCCGCTGCGTGACACAGTTGCGAGGGTTTCGCTCTTCAGTTGGACCCCCATCCTTTTCTAGCGGTTCCTGGTATATGAACTCCTGAGAATAATCAAGGGAATAATTTTAGAAATTATTCAGTGCAGGAAATGACTTTTTAGGGTCAGAACCGAAATTTCAATGAATATTCGAGTCGAAGACAATCAACTACTGTGGTCTTGTTTGTAGAATGGGCATTACGTGGTTATTCCACAGTAGTTGATTGTCTTCGACTCGAATGGTCATTGAAATTTCGGTTCTGCCCCTAAAAAGTCATGTCCAGGAGATTTAACTCTAAGTCCTGCACTGAGCAATTTCTAAAATTATTCACTTGATTATTCTCTGGAGGTCATATGCCAGAAACCGCTAGAGAAGGCGGGGGTCCCACTGAAGAGCCGAACCACTCGCAGCTGTGTCACGCAGTGGCAGAATATCGGCGAAACACGTGTCTGGGCTTTTAGCAAGTATCTATGACGGGAGTACGATATAATACGCTTATCATATGGAATTCATACTCCTCGTAGTACTACTTGTTTGTAGAATGGGCATTACGTGGTTATTCCACAGTAGTTGATTGTCTTCGACTCGAATGTCCATGGGAGTTTCGGTTCTGACCCTAAAAAGTCATGTCCAGGCGATTTAACTCTAGGTCCTGCACTGAGTATTTTTTAGAATTATTCACTTGATATATATATATATATATATATATTATGACAGTTGGCGTTCGCCGATCAGGTTACGGAACATGCTCGTTCCGTTATGCCTTGGGACTCATACTAGAACCCTCGCAGGCAGTCGCACAGCGACTAGTAGTAGACATAGATGAGATGATACCGACAAAGACAAGGGAGACCGGAATGGCCATTTCTGGCTTATTAGCCGTCATCAGCCAGTCATACCCAACCCCGAGTGTGGATCACTTGAGATTCGAACCCGGGATCTTTGGTCATGGAGTTTGACGCTCTACCATTGAGCCACGGGCCCGTCTCGCGTCTCTTAAGACCGCTGGGGATCGGCATCGCCCACCGACCGGAGTCAACAATTCGACATCTGGTCATGAGACCTAAGGCCCCTCTGCCACTAGGTGAAACCACGAACGTTATCTACTGGATCCGGTGTAACGCCTGCGAAGTCAAGTACATTGGGGAGACCGGCAAACGGCTACAGACTTGTGTTGGAGAACACATGAGGGCACTAAGGCGAATGGACCCTTTGTCTCTGGTGGCCGAACACTGCGCCGATGCCGGACACACGTTCGCCTTTCAGCATGTCGAAATTCTGGGCCGGGGAAACGATCGCATAGCCAGGGAAACAATCGAGGCTTGGCACACGGGCACAAGCTCCATCAACCGCTGTGTGGCTCTTCCCGCTGCCTATCAAGCCCTTCGAGCGCAGCTCGGTAAACAAATGAGCAGACGTGCACCCAGGCTAAACATTAATCCACATATGGGCGAGTCCATGGCGGATACACACTCAGCCACCCCTCAACCTGGTTCCGACGAAGGCGCAGTCCTCACCACAGCCGGTCCATCTACTAGTCCGCCGGACGAGAAAACGGACAGTCGTTGCGGCGTAAACAAGATTGCCAGGCTTGGACGACAGCTACGCTCAATGAAGGTACGAACGACGACCCCCAACGTCTCAACGCCGGCCTCCGATGTAGA